CCAGAACCAATATGAGTAGAAATGCGTGCGGCAGAAAAAACCACCGACGCGTACGCATCACCGCCCAACCAATGAACAAAACTCGACGTGTCAAAATTGGCGCGAATAAAACGGCACAATTATAGACGATTTCAATCAGAAGTGTTAATTATTTGCAACAATTTTCAGCACTTGCATTTTGGTCTAGTGTTGTCTCTTCTTGAAACAAAAAGGAGTCTCGATCGCAGCAAGGTTCTGGAGAAATTTAAGAAATACCGTATTTCACAATGTGATTGTGCATCCAAATTGTCACATATTCAACTGAAATCACTAAGTTACGAACCGTGTTTATGATATGCACTGGGCATATAATCAACTTAAACAGACATGCACACATGCTAAAATGAAACCCATCCCGTAAACAAGAGCCAAATTCACAAATTATCAGCGCATCTTAAACGACAACATTATGAACGCTACACCAGGTTGTGCTTACCTGTCAAACAACGAAGAAGGCCTATAATGATTTTTATCGATTATATCAAAAAATATTGACACATGTCAAGAAACGACGAGCATCAGAGACTTGTTTCCAGCAAAAAGCTTTTGACTGTCCACACAGAAAACACACGGCTCTGGTGCACTCCCAGAACCAAAACAACAAACAGTACTAGTAAGACCCGAAAAAAGAACAAATACACTAGATAGCAGAAGAACCAACATGTCGTTTTGGCATAAACCAGTCACCGGCGTGACTAGACTCTCCGACAAATATCCTGGAAGTGCTGCAGGCGCACATCCCATCTCGTTTGTTGTCCACGGGTCTCGCATTAACTAAGTCATGGTTTCAGAGTACATTTGACATGTTTGATAGTGCCCGCCTCAACGATGACCCAAATACAAACGTATAGGGCATTAAGGCTCCATACAGTTTAATTTGTCGTCTTTAGATATTTAAGACGGTCTATCTCCCGCGCATGAAGACTGCGTTAGAAATTACGAAGTCACGTTGAAAGAATTACCACCA